GTTCCAAATTATGGAGGTAGTTCAAACGTGACAAATACTCACATTCAAGTACACTGACATCCATGTTTTTTTCTTACATCATGTCTACAATGTCATCCTTCAACATAAATGTCCTTGAAACATGTCTAGAACATCTTGGTGTCTGAAATGGAGAGAACACATTTATTGATAATAACTGTTTGATGTTCAATGTCCATGAATAAGTAAATCATCAATTCTTTAGTATACATGTCAGACACAGCTAATTTATTTAAATAAATTAAGATTAGTCTCTCTGGTTATCTTGCTGCATAAAAAGAAAGTCTGCATAAATACTGGTCACACTATGTAGCTGGATTAGTAATGTCATCTCCTCTCCTTTCATCATTTTGATTAAATCTAATTGATAATATTGATAATATACATTTGATTGATTGGCTCTCATGAAAGATTAAACAACAAGCTTAAACTCAAGTTTAAGTCTAGCAAATATCAACCGCAAATAACAACCAACAGTACTCTTATGACACTGATGTTCTAAATTCAAATTCTCTCTCTCTCTCTCTCTCTCTCTCTCTCTCTCTCTCTCTCTCTCTCTCTCTCTCTCTCTCAATCTATATATATATATATATATATATATATATATATATATATATATATATATATATATATATATATATATATATTAGTCAAGCATGGAATCATGACTAAGCATACTGACCCGTTTTAGTTATAAAGCACGAAGTTCTCACCACAATTATGGCAGCGCATGAAATATGTAGACTAAGTTACTGAAAGTCTGTACTGGTTAGAGAACAATTCTTGCCGCGTACATATCGTCGCCATAATAACAATAACTCTGTTAATACTAATTACCTTATGTTTATTTTCGATCTGGATTGTCAGCTATAATCACTCTTTTTGTAAAATTTTTTTAAACAGGGACCAAAACTTTGCGTCCGGTCGCGAGTTATTATTAATATGGCGACAATTGGTACGCTGTAAGAATCGGTCTCTAACCAGTACAGTACACAGCATTTGGTATTCCTGCTACTCAACAGATTATTCTTATATACATGCATATTTTATACAATATTCAATTTTATCCTTCCATTACTATAAACACGTGCGTTTATTTTGATGGTTTTTCCAGATTAAGGAAAATTCAAAGATGTCGAAACGGACGTTTTGCAGTGAATGCCTATATATGTACATACAAAGTACTCAAAAGACCATAAATTTAAATACCTATGTGCAAGCATTGCAAAGGAAATCATTCGTATTTCCTATATTTAGTACAAATATTTATAAGACATATTAATTTATCAAAACATTCATTAGCTGACAAAAATCCTCGTCCCGCCTAAGAAAATTTCGACGCCACCATGGCTGTACTTGCCATGCGCAATAAAGACAACTCTCTCAATCGGAATACCATCTGCTTTTTCTGTGCTTTCGGAAATGGTGGCGCTGTACACTTTTTTTTATTTTGCTAGTGGGTGGGTGGGATTTTTCAAAGAAATAGAATTTTCCTGGTTTTCTTCACAGGTTATACTGGTTGTTTGTCTTAAATATTTCGTATAGAATATTTATTTCTCTATTTTGTTGCATTATTGGTGCTTATAATATAAACAATACAGTATGCAAGTCAGATGTGGATCTTTAACGAAATGCTAGCTCTGCTTGTCCATTATACTTATGCGCGCGCGTGTGTGTGTCTTTAGATTTTTAACGTAGCTCTAGCAATTTTTTTAGTCATATCGCTACGATGTCTGCAGTGAGACAGTTTACAGTGATGTCTAGCACTAAAGCATCATACTGCAGACATGTAGCATGATGTCTCACTCAGTGACATTGTACTGAAACCATATCGACCAGTCCTAGCACTAACCCTAAACTGCTGAGCGCCAAGCGAGGCAGCTGTTAGTACCATTTTTTAAAGTATTTTGTATGACTCAGCCGGAATTCGAACCCGAGGCGGACTTGTGAGGTAAATTGTCTATAATAATAATAATAATAATAATAATAATAATAATAATAATAATAATAATAATAATAATAATAAAATCTGAATACGTCTTTTTTTTTTCTTTTCATAAATATGATAATTCATTCGCCGCACTTTAAAAAGCTTGCATTGTTGAGTCTGTCAAAATTTTAATAACTACTAAAATTGCTTAAGATAGTACATTATACACTAACTCAACCTGGCAACGTGCATAAATAATCAAAATAACTTTGTATCTTGCTAGAAGGACTTCAAGTATCTAAAAGAGACTCAGATGTAACCTATGTGTGATACTTTCTAAATTGGAATTTACGGCGTAATGTGTCAAGAGCAGAAACATACGATAACATAAGAGGCCTTTGATAAGAAACCACGTGACAATGTCAATAATCATTGATACACCTATACCTTTAATTTTTTATTGTATTCATGCAACTGTATAATGTAAAAGAACTTAAAGAAATCATTTGGTTTTCATTTTCTGCAAGTATTGCTTGTGTTGCTGTTAGTGATGACACACCGCAGCACTCTTAGGGCTGTACGATCCCATTGCAAAATGTGGGCATTACATTGCTTAAAACTGAACCTGGTCATTCCATACCCAAGTCGTTTCGTACACAAATGTGTATTTTCGTACCCAAAACAATGGAGGTTTCGTACACATTGTGTTGGTCCTTTCGTACCCAGAGTTCAAATGTAACTACCAATATTAAATATCTCTCTCTCTCTCTCTCTCTCTCTCTCTCTCTCTCTCTCTCTCTCTCTCTCTCTCTCTCTCTCTCTCTCTCTCTCTCTCTCTCTCTCTTATACACACACAAACACACACACACATATATATATATATATATATATATATATATATATATATATATATATATATATATATGTATATGTATATATATATATATATATATATATATATATATATATATATATATATATACACACACATATATTCACACATATGTGTGTGTGTATTTTCGTGGAGAACTAAAGTAATATTTCCATGAAGGTGTTATATGTACATACATACATACATGCATACATACATACATACATACATACATACATACATACATACATACATACATACATACATACATACATCCATCCATCCATCCATCCATCCATCCATCCATCCATCCATCCATGCATGCATCCATGCATGCATGCATCCATGCATACATACATACATACATACATACATACATACATACATACATACATACATACATACATACATACATACATACATACATACATACATATATGTGTGTATGTATTTAGATATGTATGTGTCCAATGCTTACTGAAGCACCTCAGTCGTAAAACTTTTAATACCGAAGGTGCAGTTAAGCACATTGTCAAGCTTTAAAAGAAAAATGTGCATGCAGCACGCTATTCCATAATGCCCAAACGGTTTTAAAAAAGACCGGAACTTTTAAAGCTGTTCCAAACGCGATATTATCCCTGCATTCTTTCATTTTAAAGTCACACACAGAGAGAGAGAGAGAGAGAGAGAGAGAGAGAGAGAGAGAGAGAGAGAGAGAGAGAGAGAGAGAGAGAGAGAGAGAGAGAGAGATTTCTGAATGGGGACATGAGGTGAAAGAGATTTATTTAATAATAATCACATCACCAAGAAGTGAGGGCTAAAATAATAATAATAAAATAAAATAATAATAATAATAATAATAATAATAATAATAATAATAATAATAATAATAATAATAATAATAATAATAATAGACTGTTAACCAGCCACTACCACACCAAAAAGGGAGATTTTTGTGACATGCTGTAGTTACGTTAGACTACAACTGTTATCTCAAGTAACGGTAGACGGTACTTCAAATGTTGACTCAGAGAAGAGAGCTACATACGGGTTCCTCTGGAATATCTGTCAGAAGAGCAGATATGCTAACCGCCATCCCAACTGCGAAGGCTGATGCAAAGGGCTGTGTCGACTGATCGGTGCCTCAGCCTAAGTGCAGTAGGAACTAATGGTCTTCAACTTCATCCGGATTTGACGCCCGACATCTCGACATTCCGTTTCTACTGGATTCGGACAGGCCTCTCTTAAATCCATCTCACGTGCAAGTAATGGTATTATCACCCTTCCATCTTCTAAGTACCGTGATGTTTGGTAAGTGACACAGTATCAGGTGTGGATAAGCTCGGATCTGTTGATGCAGACCTGTATAAAGACTACTTAGGTTTTGCGGTTTTTTTTTTTTCACCGACTGAAGCTCACAGTGGAATTAGGTAGTCTCCTGGGCGACTGTACTGCCCTACGTAGGATCACATGGCTCACCTCCATAAAAAAAGGGGCTAAAAATTACCTGCTTCACTTTAACCATGATCAGTATTCCGCAGTTGACTGGGGTTCTACTTTATCTCTCGAAAATCATTAAAAGAGGACAAAGGTGATGCCACTCCCCATTGGTGCCTGATATGTGCGCACACTAATTGAGAGTACATCAGCAGATGTTCGAGAGACAAGAACCGCTCTGGCCTGTAGATAATTGGCCAGAAGCAACATCCTAATTGTGGTCCTAAGCTAAACTTACTTAGCTGTGAACGACCATTAAAGTTGGAGCCGGTCACTTTGTTCTGGAGTGACCGAAGTGAAGAAGAGCGACGTGAAACCCGTGTTGGTATTGCTATTAAATCACCGCTACTCAGCCAGGTCAAAAAGGGTACACATAACACCTTCATGGAAATATTACCTCAATTCTCCACGAAAATGCACGCAACTGTCATCGGCGTTTATGAACCCACCGTGAGCAACTCAGATGAGATGAGATCAAGGACAAGTATTATGAAGATGAAGTTTTCTCACGCAGAATCATAATCTATGGAGCTAAATCTGATACATATTACCGGACATGCTTAAACATCATCGATACAAAAATGACTGTAGTAGATGTAACAACAATGGACTCCTCCAACTGACGAAATACGCTGGACATGATCCCCTAAACACCAACACATTCTTCTGTCAGCCAAAAATTTGGTGGCTTCGTGGTTAGAGCGTCCACCTCGGCTGCGGAAGGTCGCTGGTTAGAATCTCGGCAAAGTCGTACCAGACTTATAAAATGATACTAACATCTGCCTCTTTTGGCGCTCAGCATTAAGATGTTAGTGTTAGGACTGGTCCGCCTGGTGTCAGGGTGATGTGACTTGGTGGGGCATTATGCTATATGTCTGCGGTATGATGTATCAGCAGTGCCGGATTTTGACAAAGCGAGGCCCTAAGCTACGGGAAGCTGTAGAGGACATATTTGGTATAAAATATATTTGAGGGGCCCCTTTCAGACTGAGTTCAGACTTTGAGGCCCTAAGCTGTAGCTTGTTTAGCTTATGCCTAAATCCGGTACTGTGTACCAGTGGTAGACATCACTATGAACTGTCACAATGCAGACATCGTAGCAATATGACTAAAAAAATTGTTAAAGCTACGTTAAAAATCCAACACACACACACACACTGTTAGCCAAACTAAAACTGGCATCTCACTGACTACGTCATTGATGGATGCCAATAAATTAGCCTCACACCTATAAATGATAGAGATTGGTGTTTAAGAGATGATAACCCGTTTTCATTAAAACCTGCAGGACTCTGCAGACACCCTTGTCTGCACACTTCGGTTGAAGGGTTCAAACGTACTTGTTATGGATCAAATCCTCCTATGTTTGGCAACTTGTATATCCATGTGGAATAACATGTATACCAATTGAGCAAGTCCATGTTGGTGGAGCTTAAGCTATAGGTATATGAAACATTGCATTCAGAAATAAACAACACTAGCTTTTTTGGTGCATTATGTAAGAGTTTTACTTTTTGTTAAGCTTAAAAAAAATGTCGAGCCTCTTGGCAACATGTGAGAGTATGTTAATACCTATCTAGATCATATTTTGTATTTTTTTTAATGATTTAATTGAAAATGTGGCACACGTGTCAGAAAATGTGTCTGTTGTGACTAGATAGCTCATACCCATGTCTAGTTACAGCAGTTATCTCTCTTACATGCAACGGAGTACCAGATTTTGTCATTGATAGCCTATGTGTAGTAGGTTTACATCTCAAATGCCCGAGTTCCATAACACATAAACATCAAGATTGGTTTGATGAGAACGATGCTGATTTTGGGATGCTTGAAAGAAATGGCATTTAAGTTGCGAATGGGCTCTTAGCATGAGAGCTGTTTCGTTATCGTTATTGAGTTTACGGAGTTTTTTTTGTGTGTGCAAAGTTAGCCTGGCTGGCAAATGTTTCCTTATATCAGTCTGCAGTGCTCATTTACTAGAAAGTAATGACACAAGCAGAGTACCAGTTTACCACTCGTGTAGAAAGACTGTGAACCATTCTATACAATTGTTTACTTTAATCAAATTAGGTTGAAAAGAAACCAGTGTATTTATTAGTCATCAAGCTTCGTTCCCTTTGGTAATTTTATATTTTCAGCTTATAGCCAATATACATCATGCAAGAAAGATACAAGTAATTTTATTTAACGTCTGTAGTCAGGATAATATAAACAGACGCTCAGGACGAGCTAAATTAACGACGTAAGTCATAATAAATGAGTAGGTTACCGTCATAGTTTTTACATAACTCGTCAGATAGGTTCACAGTACAAATTTACAGAAAAAAAAATACACATCGGTAATATAACAATCAACACAGAGCAAGACAACAGTAAATGCAAGACAACATTAAATGACACACACACACACACACACATACATATATATATATATATATATATATATATATATATATATATATATATATATATATATATATATATAGTGTAACACATCAGAGAAAAGCAAACATATTGAAAATGTAAGATATGACATGCCTTACTGTTGAGAGAATGCACATAGGCTATATTTATTAAGATATCAATAATTAGAGGTGCTAAAGTTAAAAGATAAAGCTATTATAAATAAATATTTAAACAAATCTAAGAATGTACGTAATAGAACTTGAGTCATATAAACTCTGGTACAATAAACTGATTTGCTGTAGACTGCAAAATAGGATGACATAAAGCACATTACAGTGGACCTGTCTGAATTAGCCTGCTGAATTCTTTGAGGTTGTTCTCAGTGGACTCTTTAAAACAGCTTAATGAACCTTGTAGTTTTATCATTGGTACTGTTGCAAAATTTTGGTGCCTGAAGTGAATGTGGCCATGATTACCAGTGTATTCTTATGAAGTATCTTGCATACTTTTATGCAAATTAATTTATGTAAAGTACTTTTATGCAAATGAATTATTAAATTAAATTAATTTATGCAAAGCATATGCAGGTTTGTTTTTCTTACAAGAAATTTATAAGGTATGAAAATTATCAAAAACCAATTTAAGCACAGTACATTTTGTGTTTTCCAGAATTTTGTTTGCTAATTCAGAAATACCCCCAAAAGGGGGCAGTCATTGAAGTTAGACCTGATAAAGCATTTGTAAATCAAAAGTATCAGTGGACTGGACAGACGGTGGTTGAGAAATTACAAGATGTTAGATATGTGATCACAAAAATTTAGTTGAAAGTCAGTAATACTCCAAGGAGTTTTACTCAGTCCTCAAAGGGTTTTTCATGGACTTCTTTGGATAAATTTTGCATATTTTGGTTTGTATATCAGTGGCAGTTTGTACATTATTACTTGTATATCAGTGTCAGCAAACAAGTCAATCAGTATCTTGCTGTCATTTCATACAACAAATATTTGGCTTTTTTTAAATTGTAAAATATGGGTTTGTTGTGAGCATGATTATTTGTTGCGTAAAGTTAAATATGTTGTTAGCAATGGTATTAAATATGAACGGTCTCAGTAATAAACCTTGAGGTACTCTTTTGGAATCTTGATCCTCTATGAGGATCCTAGCTTAAGGCATTCTTTTCAGTAGTTTAATAGAGTTCAATCAGCGTTCTAGGCTTTCATCATCTCAGTGATAAGAACCTGAGATAGACTGTCAATGAATGGGTCTTATTAATATTGAATACACATTGGAGCCATTGTCCAAGGCACCCCACCAGCAGTCCTTTATTGGACTGACTAAACAGAAGCCTGCTCCAGTGATTTAATCGGATAGAGTGTCTGCCTCAAATGCAGAAGGTCACAGGTTAATAAAATATCCTTCTTTACATATGTGGTACGTAGTTAATTATTGATTTTCCAGGAATGCTAGATCAAGAGTGATTGCACTCACCTTTCCATTGTCTATTCCTAAAAAAATCTGATTTTTATTAGAAATTGTTGATACCTATCAAATGCGAAAAAAAACTAAATTCTGAAGAAGGTTAGTGTAGCATAAGTGGCTTGATTACAAAGTGTGCTTCTTCATTGCATATGGTCGTGGGTTCGATCCCTGGTCGAATCATACCAAAGACTTACAAAAATGGTACTAACTAATGCCTTGCTTGACACTTAGCAATAAGAGGTCAGTGTTAGGACTGGTTGGTCTGGTGTCAGGATAATGTGACTGGGTGAGACATCGTGCTACATGTCTGTGGCATGATACCCCAGTGTTAGACATGACTATAAACTGCCACACTGCAGACATCATAGTGATATGACTGAAAATTTTTTAAAGCTACATTAAAAATCACATGTCATTTCATTGCTTTTGGCTCTGCTGGTCTTTAACCAAGAGAGATAAAGGATTGTGTCCTAAGGATTCCAACAGTCACAAGTACAAGGAAGATGAATAATCTACTCCAGCTTTTTAATGTTTTAATTTTAATTCTAATATCAGACTTTTTCATTAAACTCTCTTTCTAACAATAATATTGTGTGTATGTGTGTGTGATTTGGATTTTTAATGCAGCTTTAACAATTTTTCAGTCATATCGCTACAGTGTCTGCAATGTGACAGTTGACAGCAATGTCTGACACTGGGGCATTACACAGAAATGTAGAATGATGTCCCACCCAGTCACATTATTATGACACCAGGCCAATCAGTCCTAACACTAACCTCTTAATGCTGAGCACCAAGTGACAAAGCTGCTAGGACCATTGTTATAAGTTAGTTTTTATGTACACAGAAAGACAAGTGTATAATTAACACAATATATGGCAGATTCATTTTTCTTTAAAAATGTGTTGCTGATTGTTAAGAAATGACATTTTATTGTCTTAGGTCCTCTACAGCTACTCAGCTATGTTGAAACTTTATAGATAAGAACATAAATAATAACACCACCCTTATTCAAAAATAACATCCATTGTTCTTGTAATTTACACAGTGTATTTCACTTCTGGTTTCACGAAATGTTTCTTAAAATGTTGACCTGCAAAACATTCATATTGTGAATGAAAACTAATAAGTAATTTTTTGTGAATGAAAACTTTTTGTTGAAATCTTACATTCTAACACCTTGTAATGTTCATATCCCCTTGTTTATCCTCATTAGGATTCTTTACATTCAGATATTAATGTGCATGTGTTTGATTTAAATATTTAATATAATTTTAATAATTTTTGAGACATATCATCATGATGTCAGCAGTTTACATTGTTGTATAGCACTAGGTAATCATGACTCTTCCAGTCACCTTATCTTGACAAAAAGCCAACCAGTCCTAACACTAACTTTTTAATGCTGAGTGCTAAACATTCCTGATGCTTGTATCATTGTAACAAGTCTTTGTTATGACTTGGCTGGAATTCAAACCTGCAATCTCTTTGGGCTAAGTTGGATATTCTAATCATGTTGGGCACTGGAGTGGTCCATATATTAATAATTTTCCTGTCTTGCCTTTTTTCTTCTCCATTCATTCATAGCCATCTCTTTTTTTGCTCTTACATTGACTTTCTTGTTCATTTGTTTGTAAATTCTTTTTTTAAATTAATCTTTAAAGGATTTTTAGTGAAATCACCAGTTAAATTAATTGCACAATAATAACAGATTTAATCAAATTCAGGCAAATAAAATCACTTGTTATTAAATCCTTAATAAACATAGTGATGGTACAATTGAGTGTGTGTGTGTGTGTGATCTGGATTTTTAATGTAGCTTTAACAATTTTTCAGTTAGATTGCTATGATGTCTGCAGTGTGGCA